CACTCTACCGTATGCGTACCTGTGCATCATGTCGTTCAACCACACTAATCATCTGTTGTTCTAATTTTCGTAGTCTGGCAGCGTGTTTTTTCTTCGCCTTCTCGTAGGCCGCTACTAATGCACCATTTGCTCGTTTCAAGTCACTCACGTATTCCGCGGTTTGTGTGTGTCTAGTCTCAGAGTTTTTCGACAAACTTTCCAACGCTTCCATCAACTCCTTAATACGAATACGTAGTTTTTTCTCGCGTATTGCAGCCTCCTGAAGGTCAGTAGGCAAGTCATCATCGCTGATACGAATATCTGAGAGATTTCCAGACCCAGAMCCAGAACTAGATAAATTACCAGACACATTACCATCCTGTAGAAAGGTCGAAATGAATGATCAGCAATTGTGCATTCTTCAATTAACATAAGAACGTGGAATGGCTATCGTAATGGAATTTACTGAACACGGACAAGAAATGAATGAAGGAATAGAAATGAATGAATAGGGGGTTGGTTGGAATRCGTATATGGATGAATCACGTGATGTAGCACGTGATTACACACGTCATACCTTGTTCCCAGATTCCTTTTCGCGCTCCAGTCTTCTTCTCTTTCTGTATTCTTCTTTAATTTCAGACTTGAGTTGTTCAATTTGTACGAGGTAGGCTTGTTCTTGCGCATCTCTCGAGTTAATTTTCAGTTCAAGTGCYTTTTTCTCTTTTTCAATTAAATAGTTTCTTGCTTTAAGTTCAGCCTTTTCCTCTTTAAGTGCCATAAGTTCCTGCATGAGAACAGCATTTTCAAGGTCTAGTTTAGGGTCTGGTGGTTCTACTGGTGGTTCGGGTATATCATGGATACCTTCTAGTTCCAGTACCGTCGAGCCCACCGTTGATCTCTCAGACTTCAATTGTTGAATATAGCTCTTAAGCCGTGATTCTTCTTCGCGTGTGAATTCTACATTTTCGTTTGATGAACCAGAGCTTGTACGACTTCTTGAYGACACTGATTCCCATGGCTGATCCTTGACAGCGTGTCCATCAGTATCACGATCAAGTTTTTGTAAAAGAGACCTGGCCTCACTTTCAGCCGTGCGCCTGCGCTCTAGGCACGCCTCAACGTCATTTAACTGTTGTTCCTTAGCAACAGTGTCGTCAGTAAACCGGTATGACGAGTTTAAGGAGATGAAAAAATCACTTTTAATACCCGCGGCTTTGCAGTTCGCATACAAACACGATTGTTCGGATTCTGAAAGTTGAAGCAAGACTTCATAAGCCTCGATGACTTTATCACAAAATGATAATGATAACTGCGATACTGTGTTGTTGGATTCATATTTGCCCATCAATACACACATCTTCTCGGCATTTTCTCTACTCTCTTCAAGTGACAATGAAATGACATTGATTTGCGACTGAAGATGATCTACTGTACACTTTAGCCTTTCTATTTCTAGTTCATATTCCTTGAGTTTCTTGTCAGCTTGGTCGTCACAGTAACCAAAGAGAACCTTRTAGACGTCCTGTAAGTTCCTGCAGCCACGTAATGAACGGAGTAGTTCGTTTGGAAGACGACCACTGGCGAACTCGGGAAGTTGACTCTGTGTGAATGAAAACAAACAACCAATAGTACAGTACCAGTGGATGAATATGCATTAATAGGGTTTCAATCCTGTGTCTACTAMACCTACTATCATGGTTCTTAAATAGAGGCGGAGCGCTATTGCAACCTCAGAGTGTGGGCCAGTAACCGCCCTATATTACCGACAACTTATTAAGATGGRCGTTTGTACAATTATATCAATACTAACCAGTGATCTGATGCACTGCTCTCCGCTCATTCTAGACTCCATCGCTTCATCTACTGGTCTAGCCATCACGGTTATTTCTTGTGTAGATCCATGGGACGAGCCAAGATCACTAGTGCCAGCTCCCTTCCATACCATTTGATTCGTTGATGCTATAGATTGTACACTTCCCCTGGGGGTCATGGTGGGGCTTTCTGGATTCCACAGGGGTCCTGTACTTCCACCACTAGATCGTCTACCGTAGTTGCCTGGCAACGTGACAGCTCGTCTTGGTGTYGAGGGTGATCGACTAGTCATTGATGCATTCAGGTTTTCAGTACTCGACCGACGAATGATGCGAGGTGATGCAGCCAAGTGTCCGTCACGACTTGACACGTCCGATGCTGCACTGCTGTAATTACTTGGACGAGGAAATGATCGACTACCAGCTCTTTGTTGCATAGGAGATCGGGACCCCGGAGGTTCATGAAAACTTGATGATCTTCCTCGAGACGCCGTTTCATAGCTGATTGTCTTTTGGTGAAGCGCTTTGAGATGTTCCTGCATCTCTAGTATCTGCAGAAATACAATGAATATTATTATGTCGAACAACGGGATTATTTTAGAGAGTTAAAGACTTACTCTTCGCCTTAGTTTGTCTCTTTCGTCTTTAAACCCGTCTATTTCTTTACGCGCACTTTCGAGTTCAAATGTTGTTCTGTTCAGTTTTGTTCGTAGACCTGCGCATTCATTGCATGGYGAATCCTAACAAACACACCGTTATTACATCATATTATTGATAAACATACTGTTATGTTATTGTACATGATGATAATGGTAAGAATACTACACATAGTATGTGAAGTTTTGACTGTCTATAGTAAATCTCCAACTTACATCAACTAAAAATATTGTCAAAATCAACATAATAGTTATAACGTACCTGAAGTCCCCCTTCACTACCAAAGCTSGAAGACTTTTTCCTTGCAACGTACTCCCGCARACTTGCTTGCTGCAGTTGACGTTCCACTATGAAATAATTTGAGTTCAAAGGATGTTCTGTACTTTAASGCAGTAATTCACTTGATGGTAATTACAAGTGATTCAATGCACAGAGATAATACGAGTAATGATGGGATGTGAGTATCAAACCCTGTGAGCAGAAAGATTTTCCGCACTGGGCGGGGAGGATCTCTCATGATTTTGAGAAATTTRATTAAACGATTYYGCATAGTCTCCGTGCTATTGAGGACGGGWACCTTSTTCGCAGACAAATCTAATTCTAACTGTGTGGTGGTTGGGGGGTGAGATCAAAGGGGGMGGCGGAAGGGTTCAAGGGAGAAGAAGGAWAAAGGAGGTACATCCCCTGRGTCCACAGCAGAGGGTAGTACGTCACGACAAAAAATGATGAACTACTTACAGACTTGTTTCTTTTTTTCCAGTTCAATACATTGTTCTCTCAGTTGACGCGCTTTGTCCGTAAGTTGATTACATTCYTGTTGTTGCTCTTGCCTTCCCAGAGATGCTTTGCTGGCTTCGGCTRTTGTAATGTTCTTATCGTCAGTAACTTTAACCGTGACTTTWATYGGTTCTTTGTCCTTTTTATTGTCTTTTGGTTGTGGTTTTTGTCGTTCAATAGCAAACTCTAACTCGCCAACGACTTTGGATAGTTCGTCGTCCACATCGTCTTCGTTCTCATTGGATTCGATTGATTCAAGACTTGAACTTCGTGAACCTAAAAATAATACACTTATTGTTAAAACCGATTATAACAGAACCAGCTTTTACAGCCCACTCTCACTAGAATGTGACGTCATTTCCGCTATTCATAACAGGAAGTGGTCAAGTCCAATGGAAAAAAATAGTCAATAAAGTTCACTAACCGTGTTCTGAAGTTTGTGATTCAACTTCATCTAGTTCATCTATTTTTTTGGCAGTTTGAGTTTGTAGTTTCTTATCAAGTTCCGCTATTACACTTTGTAGTTCAGTAATTTGTTCCTCGCTCTGTTGCGACTGGGCCAGCAGTCGTTCTTCGTAGTCCCGAATCAGTTCTTTCCGATCTTCGTTCGTAAACGAACCATTGTTTTTTAGTGCATCACGTTCTTCGGTAACCTGCCGAAGTTTTCCCGACACTTCTACGATTTCATTCTTTAAAGATGCTAAAGCAGCTAAATGAAGCTGAAAAAAAAGAATTGGATAATATTAGAAAAAAGCGGGATAAAATTCAAGGTACGAGAGTAAAATAGAGAGAACATTATCGTTGTGTATAGTAAGAGCAGTGCCTGGCAGGGGAAAAAGGGGTGGACRACAGAGGTCACACCACTTTCATTTGTCTGGCCAGGGCTTTACAAATTGTTTKAATGCTTTGCAATACTTAAATAATACCTAAAAGTGACATAAAAATATGTCCAAGATGACATAATTAGCTCAGACATGATGACATGACAATAGTTTGCATGTCTGAATTAGCTTGTGAGGTTATGATGACAAGAGTTTGACAGCCTCTGGTCTTGTGACTGACAWAGGTGAGTAGCTTATTCAACATTCAGAACTTAATCTATTTTATTATTTCAATAACATTCAAAAATTATCTGGTATTACTCCTATACAATTTATCATGCATAAATATACATTTTATTCTAAATAAAAAACTCCATACTTTGCAACAAATAAGGCAAATTTTGAAAAAAAAAATCATCTTTCCAATAAGGTAAATCAATTTGAAAATATGTAAGAAAAATATTGCATCTTAGATATACTCACACGATGAAGACGAAGAACATAAAGCTTAGAATATTCAGGAAGAACTAAATTTGGAGTTGAATAACTTAGTCCACACATAGCTCGGATTTGTGCCTCCATATCTACTTGTTTGCACCTTACAATGATTGAATACTAAATTACACATCGTTTTGATAACATTTCTTGGTATTCATCCTTCATATTTAGATAGAAAACATTGTGTGACCACATAGAAACTGTTCATGGGTCACTTCATCTATGTTTAGACTTGAATACAGGTTATACCACATACCGAGTTAATATAGGAAACAATAAGGATTGAAGTTATTCATTTACACAATGTCTGCTAAAGTAATCCTGTTTAATATTAAATTGTATTACACTATAACCAGACAGCCATTGCTGGTTGTGGTGAAAGAATGAAAAACTGGTAATAATACTCTCAYCTAAGTTGTTGTAGGATGGGAATATCATGTAACAAAAAAATTTTCAAGAATAATTTATGACTGTAGATGATAAGATCTTGTAAACAATAAAATAAATCAATCCACAATATGAAAAGCAGTACCAAGGTTAACCTTTACAATAGAAATTCGGTCATTCCATTAAAAAAACATGTGGTGTAGTTGGATAGTGTTGTTAGTCTAAGTAATAAGACTGTGTCTAGTTTACAACTGAGTGGAGAGGGAATGTCAGGGTTGATATGAATCAAACCATGTGTCCTTAAGTTATTAATAATTGACAGAATTATTGATATTATGAATATGAAACCTTATCACTTTTAATTAATACTTAAAAACACACAAATCTAAATTACTTTGTACAATCAGTAACCAGCTCAATATCACTTATTTGAAAATAAGTTTTTCTAAAAAAACATATAKCATTTGCTGTTGCAAAAATATCAAACCTTTTCAAAAATAACTACAGCTGAGATAAGCACATAATGTCAAACTTTATAACTTATGACAAGCTATTAAAATGAAATCAACAACGATAACCCTAAATGCACATGTACAAAAGATTAAAAGACTGATAAAATCTATTTATAGATTGATTCTATGCACTGCAAGCAGACCTCCGCATGGGGGAAACAAAGAATTTGCTCTCTTAACTTGTGATGCARTCTATTATTTTCTACAATGATAGAGCTGCATTTGAATGCACTGAAAGACAAGATCAATTGGACTTTCACAGTCCTAATATTGCCCCTATGATAATAATAATCAATATAATGTTCTATTTATTCACATGCCATAACAAAAATGATGATGAATAGTGGTGGTGATAAAAAAATATATAACAACAACAATATACAATAAATTATGATATAAATATATAGTAAATTGTTGGTGGAAACTATATTTTTTATATAATTTAATGTTATCATTTAATCTATAATTCTCAAATCATATATCCTGGCCATATGAAACAACATATGTATCTAATCAATCACAAGATTCAGTATTTTTCAAATAATAACAATGACAGCAATAAATAACAACAAAAATACATGTAATAATGGTGACAGTGACAACAACAATTATAACAAATACCACGGTATCGATACAATAATTGATTTTTGGCTTCTTTTTCTTTTTTGGTACATTATTTTAGCTTTGATATCAATGTATATGTTGAAAATACAAAGGTCTGTGCATAAAGCACAGTAATACGTGATGCCCTGATGATATCCTTAGAGTATGGCCTAAGGCAAGGATTCATTATACCAAATACTAGGTGTAAATCAAATTATTTCTATATAATATATGTCCTAAACACCATCAAGGTGGTTATTGCAAAGATTTGTGGTGTGTTTGTGGYGAGAGACCTAAATTATCACATAACAAGTACTTAGGAATCGAACAGTAACCAGTGAACTAAGACCCAGAGAATACTTGCAATTCTACTTAAATGCACACAAATTATTCAACAAAATACTTGCAATTTTACTTAAATATGCTCACATTATTCAACAAAGAGTGTTTCAAATTACACAAAGTTTAAAATTTTTAGCACTAATGAGGAATCACAAAGTATTAGTTGATTAGTTAAAATAGCAACTCAAGAATGATTGGTTCATGCCTGCCTATATTAGGGATATTATTGTCAAGGGTTATAAAGTGGGATATCTTTGGTATTTGGTACTTGACAAAGTCCATAACTAAATAGTTCTAGTAGTCATAATTCTACTAAATCCGTGCCTAAACAAGYCATAAATGRAATATTTAATATACGCAATTATCTTATATGTACACAAATTGGCAAAATGTGTATTTAATGAGTTAAAACGATTCCCATACGACTGGCTAGTAATGAACGCACAAACTATTATGAATATCGACAATAAAATTATTRAGGTTATGTCGGTYAGATCAAGGATGTCTGCATCAATTGTAAATACGAAATATCCGGTAGGGACGTAAGAAGAGCATACCGACAATCAAAGTACAAAGGAGTATTTTTAAGACTTCAGGAAGTTTATTCAGGTTTTCGTCCTACGAATGGCGACAGATCGATAAGAACAATCCATCGGTCAACAGTCTTAACCTARACAAACACTCCTAAGTTTATCAAAACCATTGAACATGGCAAGAAAAATGTTGCATTATAAATCCGCGTCCAAACATTCTAACGTAACATTAACCTATAATCCAAGTCAACGAAAAACTAACAAAAAAAATGCAATTATTTTTTYAWCGCTCGGCCACAAGTGAATTAGTTACGAGTAGAGSGTAATGATTAGTGATTTACATAGCACTACCRGTTAGAGTAAACCTTCACCGTTCCTACGAGTTCTTTCCAGATTGACTGTTTTTGTGTACTTTTGACATMGCACGAGCCTTTCACAACTCAAACCAAAACAAACCAAGGACTACATCACTAAAACACACATCAGCTAGCTAAATTTCAAAAGACAAYTAAAAATTATATCAAGCTTCGCTATTTAATGCAATACAAGCTCGTTGTTTGCTGTTATAGTTCGACAAATGTCCTGAATGACTTTTCGTGTTTGTATAAAAAGGGAAACTAAATCTCAAACTGTGTCAAAGAATTGACAACAATAGTGTCGTCCCCCCAAATTTCTTTTGTCTGCGATTAAAAGCAACAACCATATTTCAGCATGTTGAATTCCTTTGGGATGGGCGACTGAGTTAGAAAATTTTTATTAGCGGAAATAGCAAAAATCCAGTTTTTAACGAAAACTAACCATGTGTTATGATCAAATTACATCGATTGAAACCCATCAAAACGAACMCTGAYAAATTTCACACAACACTTTACTGGTGCTTAMATACACACACATTGATCRACCCTCTTACCGTATTTGCTAATTCTAAAAAGTTAGAGCTTCTTGATTGTCCTTTAGCGTTAGCTGCCGACATGAGTTGCTGAAGTGCTGGTTCATAATTTCCCAAGTCGTGTGTTCCACTATCCAACTCCCATGTTTCACGGCTTGGTCCTTTGTCACTATTTCGCTTACTTTTAGCATTCTTATCATCACTTTGTTGTGTATTAGAGCATTTCTTGGCCAAATCTTCAGGACAACTGTTTGATCTTTTCGTGGTTGATGTGTGTTGTTCAGTAGTCGCCATTCTGTCAGGTAAACTGTGATGATTTTGGCTGTGAATTTGAGCCAAAAATTCCCCTACATGCCTCCCTTCTACGGCTAGTTGTTGTACAGCCTCAGACATTTCATCACTATGAAACGCAAACAATAAGTAATCGTTGGCTAACTAAAAGCCATGGTATTCTAAAGTGAAGRTCTAACTAAAGAGAACCGGCATCGCCAGACAGATAACAAAGCTATAAAGCAATAGCAGTATTGAGTTTCAGTCGAGCATAAATAACATTCAGTCGTCAATCATTCATTCAGTCAATGTAAAGGTTAACTAAAAGGTCGCTAGCCCTGAAGTCACCTAACGCGTTTTATATCGTCATACTTACTTATCTAATAGTACGTGGCCCTTTGACTCAACCACAGTCAGRATCTTACGAATATTTTCCTCTAAACTTTCCGTAGACCGCGAACTTGCTGAAGACAGTTCGTTTTCGTGTGGTTCAAACTCGCTCATGATAGCCACGGATTTCTCGATGTAAATGCGGTATTTAAAGTAAATGTTAGCATCCACTTATCATTAGCTCCATTTAGTATAAATACTCAAGAGATCGTGGTATGAAAGTAACGTTTAGCCAAAGAAAAGGTGACTTGTGAATGAAGAATTTTAACAAAGCGTCAAATGAGATTCAAAATCACCCTTGGCGATTGGCTGCGACAATSACTTATGTGGGAGGGGAGGGTAAGGCGTTTCCTGTACTGTCAGATATTTGGAATTTTTCGATTTTTCAACCTTCTTTTCTAGACATACCAAAAAATACCTTATTTCTCAGCATACTATATCGATTTTTGAGTCACCCAATAAATGTTAGTGCACTATTTGATATGGGAAACATGGGTTTATCAAATACTCTATTCCAGTCTAAACAAGAAATGTAATGGGAGGGGGAGTGGTGGGAGTAATTGTGTTCGACGATTGAACTAGAAATTGAAGCCAAATTGCGAAGGAAATGTTTGTGACAGCCAACGCTAGGCATTTTTCGTTGATTTAGCCTGGATTATCATCAATAAGACATAGATTTTTTGTTGTTTAATTCAATAAGAACATAGCGTGATGCAACAATTATCGTAAAGTGAGGTTTTAAAGTCAGCGTTAGGCCTCCCTGTAGTGTAAAACCCATCTAAAATTAATGATGAGATTTTTATCGTCCACTCAAAACACTTTTTCACACAACTAACAAGAATATGAGTCCACGGAAACTGAAAACATAAAATTAAAGCCTGCTGGATGTACCACCAACCAGAGGCTGATCATGTCATGAAAACACGTACCGCCAACCATGGAGGATTAGAGGCTGATCATGTCATGAAAACATGTACCGCCAAGGATTACATCGTACTTAACTATTTACACTAGTTTGCCGCATTATGACTGCATGGACATGGCCTGCACTTGTTTCTCTTGATATATATATTACAAGATATAACCAATCACGTGAATACATAATATATCCTTTATTGTTATAAAGAGATTACCCAAGACAAATATAGAAAGCACCGTTTACTGAACGAATCACGCAACAAGRGAGATCACGTGATCATCTTACATGAGATCTGTGAAACACAGGGGATCTTTGATAGTGATGGACCAGTAAACTAAACGATTGAGGGCATACGAGCGAATGTTAGATTTGGGTGGGACCACCAATCAATTTTAGATTGCCAAGCTAAAGAGGGCCATGGTCGAAATACTTTTGAAAACAAATCACTGTCAATCGGACCAGTCTTTGCTTCCAGTTTTGCGGCAATAACACAGTTTGTTGCCGAGTCCGACTCCAAGTATATCACAAATGCTCTACCTGCATGACCCGTTCTGCACACTACAATCATGCGTTAAAAAACTTTATTTCATAAAAAAGAGTGAGCAAAGTAGTTTCATTCTAATAGTCGTACAGTCCGTGTACTAACAAGATTACCGACAGCTTCAATTAGATATTTTTCTTCAGCCATTCTTCGACTTCAGCTTCATTGTTTTTAAGCCAAGCAATTTTAGTTTTTGTTCTTTCAATAGCCTGCTTTCGAGCCACTTCACTAGTACCAGCCTCTGACGTATCGAAGAAGTGTTGCATCTAAAATGACAAAAT